GCGTCACGATTATTCATGGGGGCAGCGGGGTTCCCATCATGAGAAGAGGGGTTCCGTTTTGGGGCAGCCTCAGGTCCTCGCGCAGGCTGAGTGCTCCGCTCCTGCTTTGGGGTGACCTCCAGGGGCTCTGGAGTGACTGTTGGAAAAGCTGGCAGCTGGGCGTCCCTGCTAATCCTGAGAATCACTTTGATTACTCCCACCTGGTGTCCTCAGTCTCCAAAGAGTCAGAAGTCAGGTAGACAAATGCAGGACCCAGATTTCTGGCTGCTCAGACACCTTCAACCCTTGCCGCCCCTGCACGCTGAGCAAGCGGGGACCCAGCCCGAGTTTCAAGGTAGTAGAGTGACATAAAACAGAGGTGGAGACGTCAACCTTTGTCCTGCTTTCGGCTACCCAATGGGAAGGAACTCTTCTGGGCAGAAGAGCCATCCACATGCTCAGCAAACACAGGCCTTGCAATTGTCAGGGATGCAGAACAAACACGCTGGCCCGACCTAGCATGGGCTCAGTGGACCAACTTGTCTGGGTCATTGGCAGCTTTGTTCTTCCTGCCCTTTTAGGGTGAAGGGCAGCAGAGCAGAGCAGGGTGTCCTAAGCAGGAGACAGTGAAGCAAAGTCAGAAAGAGACATAGGGACAAAGGGGGCAAAGGCTCAACTCACCACTCCACCCACCCGCCCCACCCGCCCCACTTGTCCTGGCCCAGGGAGGGCTGTGGGGCATCCTGATTGCGGGGGCCTGCCTGACCCCAGGGGCTCAGGAGGTTCTAGTTTCACTTGACTTTGGAGGATTGTCCTGGGAGAGTGAAATAGGGGCAGAGAAGCACCTGGGGAGGGGGGAAGTTTAGGGTGACGGGAACTGTTTAGCCTTCCCTCCCCCTGGTCAGTGAGTTCTGGAGGAGGGATGGACCTGAGGCCCCTAACCCTACCCCGTGAGACCAGAGCCAGTCCTGGTCTGTGACCATGGGCACAGTGTCTTAGCCAGCTCTCTGTCACTGGGACAAAGTGTCTGATGGCCATAACCAAGGAAGAGAGGTCCACTGTGGCTCACAGCTTCAGGGTACCTGTGGTGCAGCAAGGGCTGGTGGAGGAGAGCTGGCACCTCGAGGCAGCCAGGAAGCAGGAGAGAAGGGAGGAGCTGGGACAAGGACATGCCCTCAGGGCTCGGCCCAGTGCCTGGAGCCCTGCTCAGACCCCCCATCCTAGGAGCACAGGCAGTATGAACTCGACACTGGATTAATCCACTGGTGAGCACAGAGCCTTTACAATCTGATCACCTTCTAAATGCAGAAGACTGGCCCACGGGTCAGGAGACAGGAAAGTGGAGACACAGGTGGCTCGGCGGGTGCCCTGCAGGAGGGGCTGTGCTGGCCCTGACCCTGACCTAATCCTAAACCTCACTCTGACCCTGATTCTAACCCTAAAGTTGACCCTAAGCCTGGTCCTGCCCCTGCCCCTAAAAGAGGGCCCTTAATCCCAAAGCACAGTCCACACAGACTCCTAGGGGTACTCCTCAGGTGACAGTGCCCAGCTTGGGGCAGTTTGGTTTGCGCTAGGAATTTCTGGAATGGTGTCCCGTTCTAAACTCTGAGCAGGCTCCTATCCCCCTGCCCGGTCTTCGCTCTGTCTTGCCCACATTTGCCTGAGCTCCTGTTGTGGACACAGCCAGGTGGCTTTGGCAGAGGAGGAGAAATAACTGGATTAAACCCACCTTGGGCCCTGCTAGGCTTCAGGGCTCCTCCCGGTCCTTGGCAGGACATTTCTGAGAAAGGAGAAGCACTCCCTTCACACCAGGGCCTCTTCCTGGTGTGCCGTTCTGTGGCATCCTTCCCCCGTCACCCTCCCTGTTCCTCAGGGAGGGCCCCAGGGTCCCTACTGCAGGGTTACGTGATCCCAATAGAAGGATGGTCCTAGGTCACATTTGGGGAAAATTCTACAAAGTCCGCTGCTGGGTTCCAAAGGACTTCCTGGAGATTCTAACGGCAAGGGGGACACAGGGTCCCCCCATGTTAGGGGTGGAAGGTTGGCATCTCTGGCCCCCAGGTCACTTCCTGACATTCAGTCCTCATAGGAGTCATGATGGGTGAGGAGGTCACAGTGTGGGCCCCGTGGAAGGGCCCAGAGAACTGTCTGCTCTGTCCACTTGGACGGCACCTTTTTCAGGGTTCTGGAAAAGGTAACACAGAGACAGGAGCACACCCAGAGCAGCAGGGGCTGCATGTGGGGAGACGGGCAAGAGGGCTGGGCCCACGAGGTCACGGATGCCCAGGCAGCTCCGCGCAGTGCTGCTGTGCTGCACGGGGGCCACTGCGTGGTGGTCAAAGCCGGAGAAGCCAGAAGCCAGAGCTGGCCCGCTGCAGCCTCTGATTGGGACACTGGTCACCCTCTTGTGACCCCTCTGCCATGAGATGTTGGGATCAGGAGGACCCTGAGTTCCGTAGGAGGGGAGGAGGATGGGGTACAGGGGGATGGGGACTGGGAACCCTACTCTCCCGGCCATTTCTCTGTGACCCTAAAGCCACTGTAAAGAATAAAGTCTATGCCAGAAGACAGGACCCCGGCCCTGCCTGCTGCCTAGCCAGAAGAAGCGCCACCTGCTGGTCTGGGACAGCACTGGCCTTGGCAGCCCCCATCCCTCCTCAAAGGCACCTGGACCGGGACCGAGGGGGAATCTGGCTGACTCAGCCCCCAACACCGACACAGGAGTCTGTTCACTGCTTCAGCTCAGAGAGGCAAGAGCCCAGAGGACTCTCTCGATGGATGCAGAGTGAGCCTGTTCCGGCGCTGGCCCAGCGGCAGACCTCTGTGGTCCGTGGGGTGGTGGGGGTGGAGGACACGCAGGAGTGGACACTGCGGCCCCCAGAAAAGCAGCCACAGATCCTTGAGTGAGGAGCTGGGCCAGAGGCCACAAGCCCAGTGACTCCTGCGTGGGCTTCACATCCCTGACACTGTCAGATGCAACAGCACCCCTGGAGTCTACCGCCCGTGTCCTCTGCTGCGGAGTTTCAAACCTGCCAGTGCTTCAGGGGGACCCAGGACTTGTGCTGCCCTTGGTCACCTCTGAGTGCCATGCTCAGCCTTGTCCCTCTGCACCCCAACGCTGAACTCCCCAGGCCCCAGACCTGGCCGTGCTTTTCCCCTCCCACCGCGCTGGCTTGTCCACCACCTCCCTGTGGAGGCATCCCGCCATCTGCTTCCCAGCCCTCTGCGACCAGATGGAGGGTGCAGCCGGCCAGGCACAGCCACAGCCACGCAGCTCTTTACTAAAGCTGTGCAGCAGGACCTTGCGTGTTTCTCACAGGCTCTGGGTGGTGGCCGAAGCTCCCTCCCTGCAGTGCTGCCCTGGCCTGGACTCCGCACCTGTCAGGGCCTGAGTTCTGTGTCTGCTGCACACAGGGTGAGTCTGCAGCTTGCATTCATGGACAGAGATTCTCACAGGGACATCTGCAGCCTGGACAGTTCCCGAGGGATGATACTGTGTGGTGTCCTCCATGATTTCCGTTGTCAGCACCGTGCCAATGCCTGCCTGGCATTGCCCGCTGCCCAGCCCCTGTGTGGCCTGTGGAGCCGGCCTCTTCACTGGGTTGGGCTCGACCCTCTCCCCAGGAATGCCTGGGCGGCCTCTTCTGTGCCATGAAACTGAACAGACAGGAACACCAGGGAGTGGGTAGGTGCTGACCAGTGGGGCTCCAGGCAGAAAACAGTGGGCTGCCTAAGCTCCCCCAAAACCCACAGGTGCCCCCTCTTGCTTCCCTCTGTGAGGGGTCCAGCACAGGAGCCAGGGCGGCCCTGGGAGGATGGAGACAGCTGCACCTCTGGAGTGGCCATGAGTAGGCTGACCTGAGACAACTGGACAGTGACAGGACCAGCAGGCAGCAGTCATGCACAGGCCAGGGGACCAAGAGTGGCACCCGCCCCAGCCTCCTCTGTGGCAGCCTCTACTTCCCATTGACAGCCACAGTCGGAGGCCACGGGGCCCCAAGTGCACAGTGGGCAGGGGCGGGGCAGGAGACATGCTCTCCATGCCACCTGCTGCCCCTCAGGGAAACAGCTGGAGACACCACGTGGGAAGCAGCAGTCAGGGACAGAGGCCTCTGCTGTTCCCCTGGGGCAGCAGTGAGCTGGGGGACCTGTGGAACTGCACAGTGGCCTCAGCCCCACATGTTAAAAAGCCACATGGAGCGGAAGTGTGTCAGGACGCTGCCTACAGCTCAGGGTGGACTCAGTGGGCACCTGAGGCTGGCCCTGTGGGCTGCACTTCTGAGCTGCCACGCAGGAGGGGTGAAGTGCTAGAGTGGCACGTGGCACGGTGTCTTGGAAGGTGAGGCCCTCCCCTCTCCATCTCCCAGAGTGCTGGGAAGACACATCTGACGCTGAGCCCGGCCTCCTAGGACTTCATAAAGAAACCTGAGTCTGTGTGGCGACCTGTCTGGAAGTCTTCTGCCTCACAGGCTCCCGTAGTGATGAAAGCCACTGGCATACATGGGGAGACTGCGCTGTGGCCTCGAAGTGCCAGGAGACCTGGATCTGGAGGGGTCAGCTCCCAATGCCACAACCAATCCTCTGTCCTTGGGGCCCTGGGGCCGTGGGGACTGTGATTCCTCATGTCAGTGGCACTGGGGGACCCAACTCTCGGGTGCAGCCCTGCTCAGATACGAGGAGAGGTGGTCACTGGTGAGAGGCGGGGGTGGGGGACCCTGTAGGGAGGTGGGAACAGTTCCCCAGGGGTCCCCCAGGCATGGCTTGCGTGTGGGGCACAAAGGGAGGGAGCTGGGGGTGAGGGCTGCTGCCCAAAAAGGGCCCAGGTTCCTCTTCTCACCCCAACCCCAACACCTGCGAATATAGGACAGGGGCTGGCGTCAGTGGGGCCAGCTGTACCCACCTGTGCCCCCGCTGAGCTCAGCACCCGAGGTTCCTGTCGCTGGTCGTACCAGGGAGCCACTGTCTCCCCTCCCACTGCCTGACTGCACCCCACCACCGAAGTCATGCTCCATGCCATCATGTTCTTTTTAATTTTTAATCTGTCTGTGTTGAGAAAAATAAGACTTGCTCAAGCTGCCTGACCAGCTCAGCGAAGTCACAGATCGGAGTTCTGCCCCTTTGTCTAAAACCCGGGGTTGGGGAAAGGAGTCAGCTCTGCAGGGCAGTGCTGCAGGGGGGACCCACAGGTCTTAGTCCTCCTGCAGCTGCCCAGGCCCTCTCAGCGGCAGGCGGGTGGCAGGCGTGAGCGGCTCCGAGGCAGGAAGCAGGCGGGGACAGTCCGGGGCCCTGACTGTGGGACGGAGTAAAGGAGAGAGAACTAACTCAGCTTCGCTCTTTCTTTGGAGGCAGAATATGTTTCTGTTCTGGAAAATAAAGTGTGGTGAGGTCTTGGAGTGGGGGCCGCAGGGAAAGCCCCCGAGAGGGCTCACGGCCAGAGTCCAATCGCACAGCACCGTGGTCTCAGCCTCCGGCAGGTGCCACAAACCCAGCCATGTGGGACACAAGCCTGCAGGCAGGAGGGCCAGGAGGGGCCTGGCCAACAGGACACTGGCTCTCAGGACCCAGCCCCCGGGGCGGCGATCGGATGTGAATGGTGAGGTCACACCATGGAGCAGACATGCTTCAGGCGGGGCTTGGGCGGTGGAGTGTGTGCAGAGCGGGCCGCTCACACCGGCCTCAACGGCTCAGGGACCTTGGGCTCCGCTCCCTGCTGGTCCTGGCACCTCCTTGACTCTCGGTTGGTAGCGCTGGCCCAATGGCAAGTCTGGTGGACCATGCGGATCGCGCCCACAGAGATGAAGCAGATAGCGCCCGTGCCTGGTGCCATCCATCTGTGGCCTTGCTCTGTGGATCCAGGTCCCTTCTCAGAAGGGCAGAGGGGTCCTTGGGCCTCTGCCCCTAGGGACCTTCTTCTATCAGTGGGATCTCTGTAAAGGAAGGGGTGGTCACCAGCTGCACATGGCCTGGGGATATGGCCAGTGTGGAAAAGGAGCCTCATTAGAATACCCGCAATTCCAGACTCAGCCAGAGGAAAATGTGAATGACGCTCCATGCATCTATTAAAAACCATGCAAACCACCTCCCTTGCTCAACATGACTGCAAGAGAGGGAGGAGAAAGGAAGGCTGAGGTGTGTTACACCACGTAGCACCTGTGCGTCAAGGAGGAAAATGGTAGGCTCCGCAAACGGACTAACAACTAAGAGCTAAATAATAAAATGATAGCTAAAAAATAAAATCGCACTTTAACCACAAACTCTGGTAGATTACAGGCTAAAAAGTCACAAATCCGGGCAGTGTGGTGTGGGGACCAGGCAGCCCCAGCTGTGGCCCCCGGCCTGGCACCAGGGGTCTCCCATGAAGCCCTCTGCAGTGCCCTCACGACACTCACGGCTCCTGTTACCAGGAGCTGCAGCCATGCTCTATTGTGGGGAGCTGGGCCCCAGGCACTCACCGTCCGCAATGTCGATGCCCGGGCTGGTGGACGCTGCTTCACTGGTGCCAGTGGCCTCCCTGGTGTCAGGGGCCATGGTGGGGTCCTGGGGGGCATGGCAGGCGCGTACCTGGCCCGGAGAAGGTGGGTACAGACTCTGGAGCAGCTCAGAGGAGGCTGAGGCGCTGTCACAGGTCTCTGGTGAGTCCCTCATGCCTGCCTCCTGGTCCCCGGGGTAGGCAGGGGGGCTCTGGTCATCCCCGGGCATGAGGCAGCCCGGGCCCATGGCGGCCAGGAATCCGGGGCCTAAGGCACTCGTGCTGCCGCCCACAGCCTCGTCATAGGACGGCAGCAGAACGGGGACACCGTCCACCACCACGAAGTCGGGGTCACTGCTGGAGCTCCTGGGGAGGCCCCTGCACAGGGAAAAGAGCGGCCTTTTGTCAAACCCGGAGTCTTCTCTCACCATGGCAGGGCAGCCGTGGGACATGGCCTGTCCACCAGAGTGCTCTCAGCCATGCCCCTGGGAACGGCCCCACATGTGCTGGGACCCGTGGTGCTGGGGTCAGCTTGGCAGCACGTGGGCTTCTGGTCTGCTTCATTCTGCACCTCAAGTCCCTCAGCCCCTTTGGCCCAGATAGCAAAGCAGGACAGCGGGAACGAATGTTACCCCAATGGTGTGCCTGCTGCCCACACCTGGGCACTCTGTGTGCCCACCACACCCGATCCCGGCCCCAGGGGCACCAGCCTGGCTGGCAGAGCACCATCCCTATTCCTCCTCTGGGAATGTTGGGGAGGGAGGGGACCTGAGTGGGCCTGGCAGGGTCCCCAAGGCCCTGCACCTGGCCCTGTGTCAGGATGCTCCTCCCTCCACATACCCATCTCAGGGGAGGGGTTCACACGACCTGGGGCTAGACTGCTGGGGTGAGAATAAGGGTGAGCACTCTGTTGAAGGCTTGGGTCCCACAGGGTGTGGATGACGTGGAGTGAGGCTGCCCCAGTCTCGGTGCCACCGTGAAGGATAATGTCCCCCTCCCTGAAGCTCCTGCATCAGGCTCCGGCCTGCCTCCCCATGCACACACCTGGGCGGCCCCCCTGCATCCTGCTGGCGTCTCACCCTCCCTGTTGTAGGGGCAGCCCGCAGCCCTGACTAGCACCAGCCTGATGACCTCCAGGGACTAAGGGAGCCCAGACACTCCCAGGACTTCTCGGAAAGCCCCACCGCCCAGGACACCGTGCCCACCTAGGCGGGAAGTGGGCCTTGAACTTGGTCTGAAACATCCTGGCCAGGATGACGAGGAGCAGCACTAGCAGCACGCTGGTCGCCGTGAATGCCACGATCTTCCAGGTGGTTAGGAGGGTCTCATGCGTGCTAGGCCATGTTTGCTCTGCTGTGAGAGAGGGGGGCGAGGGCGTGAGGCTCTGTGACCTCAGTGCCAGCCCACGTGCCCAGGAGACACCTGTGGGCGGGGCGTCTGGAACCCTGCACAGCTCCTGTGTCTTATCAGGGCCTCATACAGGCCCAGCGGGAGGCTGGGCACAGAGCCTGTCACAGGAGCTTCGGGGCAGTGGGAGGGACGGGCCCTGCTCCCTGATCTGGCCCTGGGCTGGACATGGGTGACACGCTAGGGCACGCTCTGTTGATGGTGAAGAATGGGTTGCAGCAGGGAAGAGGGGGCCCAGGAGGCCTCTCCCCACCTCCTCTGCACACTCAGTGCCCTTCAGGCAAGGGGCAGCAGGGGCAGGTCCACCCTGCATAGCGACCGCCTCCTGTCTCCCTGGTCAGTGTAGGGCCACCCGCCCACCCTACCAAGGCTCACAGGGTGGCACCTCCCCCATGCTGTGTGCAGAGGGTCAGTCCATGCCCACCACTGTGCTCTGCACAGCTGCCCACTGCCGTAGCCAGAGGCCCTGAGCATCTGAGTGCTGGGCCAGCTGGGGCTCCTGCAGTGTGCGCGGGGCCATCTGTGTGGATCCCCACGCTCTAGGGTCGGGGTGTGCAAGCCTGTGGGGTGCAGGACTCCAGATATAGCGGGCCATGCGTGTGTGTGGGGCCCAGCTGGGGAGCCGGTGTGAGGCTCTTCCTGGGTGCCCCTGTCGGGGCAGGGTATGCTCACCCGACTTGATGCAGTAGACCTGGTAGGAGGGGAACCACTCCCCGTACTGGCAGGTGATGTACTTGTAGTCGCTGGTGAGGCTGTAGCCGGGGTCACAGTAGAACTCCACCACCGTGCCGTGGTTGTAGCGCTCACAGGGCCGCGGGTGGCAGATGAAATCACCGTGACTGACCATGGGAGGCAGCGGGCAAACTTGGGCAGGGGGAAAACAACAGTGTCAGGACCCCCACCGCATGCTGTCCAGGAGAACCAGCCTGCGGCACCGGACAGACATGACGACCTCTGTTTTCACGTTAGGTCAGAAGCCTGCCATGCACCTTGCCACATGATCCTGGGGAAGCACGTGTGGAAAGGTTTGCAGGCAATGCAAGGTGTGTCCCCATTTAATGGACACATTAAACTACCCTGTTCGCAACGCAGGCTATTGCGTGCCACACAGCTTAGTAAATAAAATTAAGATGTTTATGGGCAAATCCTCACCAAAGGTGCAGCTAGCCCACACCCGGTCCTGCAGCTGAGGTCACTGGGCACTGAGTCTTGGGGCCATGGCCCAGTCTGAGGCCCCAGTGCCTCACTGAAGTCTGGTCAGCAAGGCAGCAGGCACCAGACACCCTAGCTCTGCACCTGGACCAGGTCCTGTCTCCTACACAGGGAGGAACAAAATGAGCTGGGAGCTGTGGCCACCTGTAGGCTAAGGCCATCCTGGGTCACTTAATCTCCACCAGCCTTCACCAGGCTCGATAGGGCGGAGGCTGCCCTGACTGCGGGTGTGCGGCCTTCTGGTTCTAGCACTCCGTGGCACCCAGGAGGAGGGCTGCCTTCCATTCCCGTTGCCAGCCTGCGATTTGGGCTCCACCCACCTGGGAGGGAGGTGGCCATGGCAGAGCTAGGAGCTTGTTCCTGTGGAAAGGAACAACTCATTCTCCAGGGACCAAGGGAGCCATGTGGCAGTGACCACTGAGAGTCAGGCCTAGACTAAAGCAGTAAACTCAGCCAGCAGCAAACAGTCCTTCCTGGGGCTGAGTGGGAGCCCCGACTAGTGTGGATGCCAGATGCCACCACCCAACACCAGCCCATTGGGCATGCAGAGACACAAACAGGTCAGCGTGTCCACTGAGGCAGAGCAGCCAGATGGCCCTGAGGTGCCCCTCACCTCCTTTTTTTTTTTTTAATTTTTTAAATCCAGTCAAATTTCCCTCACCTCCTAAATCACCAGCTTTTCTGGAGATGGGGAAACTGAGGCTCTGAGGAGCGACAGGGCATCAAGTGGCAGCCAGGCTCGCCCCGAACAGGCTGGGTCTGAGTTTTGGTGGATGCGCTCACTGTCCCTCGTCACCCAGCTGCTGCCTCTGCTGCAGGACCCTACAACCCTGCGAATTCCCCTCCCACATGGAGCTCAGACTCTGCTCCCCATGACACAGGTGATCCTGGGAGGTTGGTGGAGGAGGAGAGGCCGGAGGTGGGCGGAGGGGAAGGCACTGCCTGTGTGGCAGCTGGCGTGGATGGCCAGGGCCTCATCCACGTCCTTCCTTCCACCCAGCTCCTGTGGGGACTCAGGGTGGCACCCGTGACTGCAAAGCACCAGGTCCCTGCAGCACTGAGTGCTCACAGAGCTGCCACTCCCAGGAGAACATACTTTCAAGGGACAGGTGTAGCAGTGTCCCTGACTGAGGCACATGCAAAATGAAGGGTACACATGCCATGGCGTTCCTCAGCGTTAAGGAAAGGGCCCAGAGGGTGCTGCACGGCAGGACTTCAGGGGAACCACACACAAGGGAAGCACATGAGGCCACAGGGGCCCCAGAAACAGGGTGCAGAGGGTGTTGGGAGCCCTGGCCAGGCCAGGCCAGGAGTGTGGGCCACAGGGCACCGAGCTCCAGCTGTGAGCAGGAAGGAGTTGGAGAGCTCTGAGGTGGCCACAGGGTGGTGTTTGGTGCTGGGCTGGACCTCCCAGGTCACTGAGGGTTTCAGCTGAGGGTTTCAATCGGATTTCAGCTCCGGTTGTGGATGCTGAAGGGAACCCCGAGGAACACGGCCAGCTCCCCTGCTTGGCTGAGGTGATCCTGCAGCTGTGCATGTGCACACAGAAGCCACAAGTGTCACCGTGTGCATACTGCACACTTGCACACACAGGTCCCCGTGGGCCCCAGAGGAATGAAGGAAACTGCCACAGTTGTCCCCGTGGCCCCAGTGAGGGTACATGAGTTTGTTCTGGGAGTGTGTTTTCTCTGGACCTGACTGCTCAGGTCACCACGCCTGCCAGGCCCACTGAATCTGCAACTCAGGTCCTTGACAGTGGCGTGGGGGCAGCTGAGGACTACCCGGGGCACGCTGCCAGTGAGTCACATGCCTGTTCCAGCCCTGCTTCAGGCTGGGGGTGTGACGCGACAAAGGGGTTTCCACTTCTTGATGCTGTGAGGATCTGATGTGCCTGTCAGCTGCTGTTCGCAGAAGGTGCTTCATAAACAACACCTGATAACCCTAATCCTAATGGTGACAGTTCCAGCACTGGGCACTGCCAGGCCCCAGGGTCAGCTCAGGCTCCCACATGCCCCAGGGCAGCCCCCAGGGAACGCGCCTTCTGCTGCACCTTCTCAGGACACAGCCACACAGCTGACAGCCTGGGTCATGGCAACAGCCACGGACTGGCTGGGCCTTGGACCCCTGCAGGCTGCTGATGACAACGCTTCCATTGCAGCTCTGATCTCAAGACCCTTCGCGCAGCCTCAGAAACCGTCAGTGACGAGGCCTGGAGTCTCACATGGGGTCCAGGCGGACTCTGGGAGCTGACAGCAATCACTATCCGCCAGGGGCCAGTGCTGCGCCTGCTCAGACACAGATGGCTGCAGCTGCCTTCAGAAAAGCGGTTATTCCCTGCTACCGGGCCACTGCAGAGTATCCCACCCACATGGCCCATCCCACCACAGACTGGCCAGGGGAGTGGGGTGGGGTGACCAGGGCCTAGGCATCTGTGAGCTGTGTTGGCCAGGACACCCGAGGAAGGCCTGCTCTCACAGGGCACCCGCAACAAGCCTGCCCTCCCCCAGTTCTCGGGAAGTCCTGCTCACCTGGTCTGCCTCTCTTTGCGGCTGGCTGAGTCCCCCTGCTCTGCCTGCAGCCAGTGTGGTCTCCAGCTCCCTCCAGAGCCTCTCTGCGCTCGCTCGGAGCAGTGACTAGAACTTCAGGGCGCCTAGACCTTCACAGCTTCCTTTAGTCTCATTCTTGTCGCTAGATGCTGTCTGACACCCACACACTAAAGGAGGAGGGGCCTCTGTGGGCTCACACTTTCAGCCTGCAGTTTGGCGCCAAGGCAGGAAGGGCTTGGTGCAAAGGTCTGGACGTCTGGACGTAGGGAAACCGCTTACGTCACGGTGGCCAGGAAGCAAAGGAGAGAGCTGGGAGCCAGATAGACACTTTCCGGCCACACCTGCAGCAGCCTTCACCTCCCTGACCAGGCCCCACCTGCCTTAGTATCCGGAATCAAATTACTTCCCAAAAGGCCCCTCTCTGAGAACACGAGTCTCTTGGGAGACAGCCAGACACAAGTCATAACGCAGCTCAGACAGACTGTCTCTGACTTATGAGGGGCTGCATCCCAGTAAATCCTCAGATAACTGAGGATATCAAGAATGCATTCAACACACCTGCCCTACCCAGCGCTGGCAGGGGAGCACAGGAGTCAGACCCTGGTGGGCTTACTCGTGCTTACGCACATGCCCGGCCCCACCCCACCCCGCAAAGCACATTGCTAGCCAGGGAAAGATCCAAGCTTGAAAGCCAGGGGATGGTCTCTGCTGAATGTGTATGGCCTTCCCTCCATTGTAAACTCCAAAACCCGGGCAAACAGTCCTCAGACAGGAACTACCTACACCATCACCCCTCCATCAAGCCGCTGGGCGCAGGGCTGCACCTTTCACACTCTGTGACTCCTGAGAGCCCAGGGCATGTTCTGAGAGAATGAAACTCCAAGTCCTGGTGATAACCTGTGACGCAGAGTCAGGATGCCCAGGTCAGGACTCTCCAGTGGGAGGGTTCTGAGTGTGGATGCACTGGCGTCATGGTTTGGGGCTCATTTTTCTTCCACATGGGATGATTTTCCTAGATGATCAGCCTTGCCGGCGCCATTGGGTGGAAAGGTGGCATCTGCCCCAGGTGCTGCCTCCCTCCCATCCGATCTCCACTCATGTGGCTCCTGTCTGGACTCTACTCTGTCCTGCTCACGCCATCGCTGACACCTGGAGCTCTGCAGGTTTCAGGTCTCGGCGTCATCCTGACATTGTGCACTGCCTAGGCTCAGAAGTTCTGCTCTCCACACAGACTTTAGGGTCTGTTTATCAACCCAAAGGACAACAGTTGGGTCTCACTGGGTCCACAGGGCAAGTCGGGAAGAACTGACACCTCAGCAGCTCTGAGTGTCCCTGTCCGTGGATGTGGAACGCGCTCACCAAGGCAGCCTTCCCGCCCCTCGCAGGAGCGTCTCAAAGCTGCCCTCCTGTGGACTTGCGCTCCTTCCGTGATGGAGCTCAGCGTCTCCCTCTGGGGGACGCAGACATCAGTGGCATTGTGTTCCCTGCTTCAGACTGCGCTTGCAGGAAAGCCACAGACTTGCTTGCCAGGCTTTTTCCTTGAGAGCCACTCCAGCCACTTCCTGGGGCTGCAAGGCTGCTGCTGCTGTCTGGGACGGACCCAGCCTGGGTGCGGGTAGTGAGCGCAGCGATCCTTCAACATCTACACAGAAAATCATCTGTCTGTGGATAAAGGCTCTGCCTCTGTCTCCTGTCGTGACTCAGCATGTGGGCTGGGACACCCAGCGGTGCTGGAAAGGAGCAAGGAGCATCCTCTCCTGGTTGCCGACCCCACAGGAGCCTTCCAGCTTCTTACCATGAAGGGCGGTGTTCATGGCAGGGTTTTGTAGATTTCTGCACTCAGCTGAGGTGCTCGCCTCTGTCCCTGCCGCACTGAGTTTTCAGCCGGGAGTTAGTGCTGATGCTGTGGAATGCTTTTTTTGTTTCTTTGCATCTATCAACTGACCATACATTCTTTCTTCTCTAGCCTTTGATTTGATGGATTAAGCCAATGGATTTTCAGAGGTGGAACAGCCTTACACTCCTCGAATAAGTCTTACTTGGTCTCAGTGTAGAACGTCTTATACACGGTTGGACTCAATTTGCTAATGCTTTTGGAAGATTCCC